AAGATTGCTCCAAACCAAACCATTCTATGATTCTGTGATAACATTTGTGACATCTTGAACACAGTAGTAGCATTTTCACCAACTGAAAGCCTTTCTTCCTTGAAGGTAAACACAATTTGTAGCTCAATCTGTTGAATCCACTTTTAAGTAATGTTGTGTATGTTTTTGGAAAGATATAAAACTAAACTGCATGAAACCAAAGCATCCCACTGAACTGCAGTGCAATACAGCTAACACACAACAATGAAACCAAGTTCAATACTGCAACAGTAATGAGGTTGGTTTCAAATTTTGGCAGGGAAAAAAAAAAAGCCAAAACAAATACAAAGGAAAAGACTGTTATTGATAAGCAATACAATAGTATAACAAATACTGCACAGTTTTCTTTACAGGTAAAGACTATACTTCACATTTTGCATGATAATTTTTTGTACTTAAGTAATACTTAATATTACTATAAAAATCATATTTGGATGAAAAGCAATATTAAGAAAACATTCATGATCCTGGAATACACTAAAAATTACTTAAATGCATTTTTTCAGAAATTGCTTTTTAAGAAATAATTTTTATCAACTATTCACATGGCTGAACTCATACAAAAATGTACCACATTACTCAATGTCATATATTTGTCATAGATGATTCTATCTCAAAACATTACTCTTTGAGCACTGCGAGGAAATAGGCATTTTTGGACCAACTGGCCTACCTAATAGTTGCAGTATCAGTACTGAAATTGAGAGGTTTAACTAAAATAGTGATGTGAAAACTGGTAATTCCAGCTAAAAAGGCCCCTTAGTCAGGGTGCTTCCTGGACAGTGCATGGGAAAATGGAATTTTCCAAACGATGTAGCTCAATGCCTTTCTCTGGTAAAAGGAGTACTGTCCAAAGGAATTTTCACCTGGTGATACAGAGCAGTCAGAAACAGTAACATCTTACATGATGTGTGCACCTGGGAGGACAAAATGAAATGAGGGTTGTGAAAACTTGCAACAGGTTAATGACAATTTGAACACAATGAAGGGAAAACTGTAAGAGCACATAGAGATTCTTTCAAAGATCATAAGTGTTGTTCGTTACTCCTGTTTAAAGCTTTTCCAACTTAGTAATGATGCAGGGGCACCCTAACTAATAATAAAAATGTGGTGAAAGATGAACCAGCACACTGAACATGTAAAAATTAAGATTTTTCTTCAGTGCTATTATGCAGTGAAAAACTTGTGAAACCCAAGACCTAATGTGTTGTCTCATCAGAATTTTTGTTTTAGCCAGGTCTGCATTATGCTTTTGAAGACAAAAACTGCCTCATGGAAATGTAAACATTTGTATAGCAAAACTATCTTTGAGAGACACCTGATATTATAAGCAAAATCAAGTTATATTTCACTAGGGTTTATATATTTAAATTCCTCAGGCTGTCTTGAAAACTTCATCTTAGCATATGGCCAGCTTTATTTTTCATATGTATTTCTCTAATATTTTTAATTTAAAAAATAGTTATTCCTCTATGATAAATATGTAGATAATAACTATAGACAGATCTTAATACCCAATACATATCATATATTCCACTGTACATATCATATATTCCACTTTTCAATTGATTGCTTGCTATTAGTCTCATCCAATACACACTAGGCTTCATACTTAAAACCAAATTTTGAAGTTAATGAAATCCATTAATAAACAATATTTGAAAATGGTATTTTATTTTGATGTAATTTTTATTTACCTTTCATACTTTATATAAGGAAAATTAGACATAACTAAACACAAAGATGATTTGGTAGGAAGAAATATTTGAAAAGGGCCCCTGGTTCCCTGCAATTCATATCTTCACAGCATTCCCTTCAGATAAAAGCCAGGGTTAACTGTTCCCTGTTGGTATCAAACCTAATAATCTCTTCTTGTCCTAGAGAACTGCTCTTATCACCAGGAGCAACCCCAACAGAGAACAAGGATAAAGCACGGAAATTCTGTGTAATCCTACTACCAGTTTAAATCTCTGATAGAGGTCAGTGCGTAAAAGGACGAGACAGTGACACCAGAGCACTCAGTGCCTTCACTAGGCCTGTTTGACTGAAGTGGCATTTAAGGATGTGATGGAAGCAGTTTCCTCTCCTGACTACACAAACTGTCAAATACAATAAAACATAAAGAAAAAATGCTGTAGTTTTGTTACTAACTTACAGAAAGGCATATATGCATTGTTTGCTTCCATCTAGAAACTAGAGGACAATATCAAGAATTAATTTCTGATTACCTATTTATATTTTAATTTTCAAATAGTTATTGGGGGTTTATATAAGAATTTTATTAAAAATAATTCAAATTTCTGTTAACACAGCTTAACTGCAAGACTGAGCCATACCTTAATAAATTCTCAAAAACTGTTTGGAAGAGAACAAAACCAAACTAATGGAAGAGAAAAATTAAACTATTTTGAAGGGTTTAATGCAATTTTTAAAATGAAAATTTGGGAAAAAAAATGTAAAATCCCTGATAGCACTGTTTGTAGCTGCAATTATTATGCTGAAGAAATGCCACTTGGAAAATATTACAAGGAGAATCAGAACTATTCGATATTGACTTCATGGAATCCTCCCATTTTTAACAGCTTGCTACAAAAATACAAATTAGTCGTTTAGTTTTTGAACCTGAATCTTTTGCTCAAATTCCCAAGCCTGCAACTTATGAAGTCCCATGAATGGAATGACAGATAAGCATGACACTGCTTCATGTAGGAAGATACTGGGGAAAGGACTGTCCGAGCTTAGGACAACCCAGCACTGGGTGGAAATGGAGGCAAGGAGGTGCTGAAAGGCTCTTTGAAGGGGCTGTTCTGTTCCAGAAGTTTATGTGAGAGGCCAGACTGATGGGAGATGAGGCTGCAAAGAGGCACTTCCTCCTGGGGACATTATTTCTAAGAACAGGAGAATTCTTTACCATTAAACAAGTGTTTTCTTTCCTGGGCAAGACAAATAAGTCATATTTGAAGCTTATATACCAGTGCAAAGTTATTTGCAAAGGAAAGCAAAAAATTTCTCTGACTCAATCAGAACATGAGACAGACCTATATTATATCACCTCAGAAACACTTGCTTTGCATCATAGAACTACTTGACTTAAAGGAATTGAGGAAAATTGTATTTCTGTTAGTCAAACAATGCCTGTGCTGGAAAAAAAAATACATTTGGGTTAAAGCTCGCTGGCAGTTGAGTATTTAAAACTTAAAACTCCAGTTTCAGAAATATCATAATAAATTATTCTGTTTTACATTAAAAGTAACCATTACAATGTGTGATTTCTCTGATGGTAGAATAATATTTCTATGTTCTTTATAAACTGCATTTCCTCAGAGGATTTTAGAACTCTAGAAAATTTTATGCTGTATCAAAAACTGTGTGTAACAAGACATAAATTCAGACTTTAAGTTATTCCATTTTCTCATAGACTGTATTTGATTGTTCCCACACATATTCAAAATTAATTCTACTATACCATAAAAAGATTGCTACTTTGAAATTCTTTCCACATAATCTAAAACTTTCACCATGAAAGGTGTTTTAGGTTATAATAATGTATTGAATCAATGCAGAGGTTTTATTATACCCTCTGGTATGAATTCTGTATTGCTAATAAATCCTTAAATTTAAATTCTCCATGATTCATAACATGTGGTGCAACATCTCTCTCTCTTCTGAATACAAAATATATTTATAAATAATGCTAAAGCATAGTGGCAACACAACCACAATCAAACCATGTATTTAATATCATGATGTGGAGAGTTGGCAGAATTTTAAAGAAACTTCACTTAATTTGCATTTTTATCTATGTTTTTTTTTTTTCCTCCTTTATATACATATAAAAGGTTATCTTTGCATGCATTAAAGAAAACAAATATAGCAAATTAGGATTCATTTCTTAAGTCTTCTGGTTTGGCAAACCTCTCCATTCCTAACACCTAAAAATTCTTTTGATCATTCCTCATTTTTCTTTCAGATTTATATTCTATGCCACAATGCAATGCTTCCCTGCCAAAAAAGAGCACACAACTATAGTGAAAGCACTTTGAGAACTCCTCAGAAAATCACTCCATGATCTGCAATCATTACTTTTACTTCTGTGCCACAGAATCCTATTCCAACTTTTATCTTCCCACTGGGAAGAATTTTTCTGTTCAAAGACTCAGTTCAAACAGGCTCATGCAAACTCTACTGGAGATGCAAAAATAATTGTATCTAGAAATTTCTAGATAAATTAAGCAACAATGAAATTAAAAAAGAAGGATTTTTTTCTTGTTTTCATTTTTTGAAGACCATTGCTCATGAATTTGAAGAAAAAATTGAAGAAGCAATTACCCAATTAATTTCTTTATATTTCAGATTTATATCATCTGATTAGCTTCTCAAGCATGAGACACTTCTAAGCAAAAAATAATCTCCTTTTCTCCTGGACAAAATGCAAGAGCTTGGAATAAAGACAATCTCTAAAAGAGACTGTTACAAACATGATAACTCCAGGAGGTTTTATAATAGTGGCTAGACACAATTTAGGGATTAGTAAATCAGAGGACTCAGAAACAAAAAAGAATCTTGAGTCTTAGAACGTTAAGCTCAAGACTTAGCTGCTGCTCAAATCAACCCTTACTTTATCCCGCTGAATACTTTTCCTTCCCAGCAGTCTCAGCTTACTTGGAGATTTGAAGTTATTAAGCTTAGCCTTAAGTTAGGGGATAATAACACTGGAATATGATTTCAGAAGAAACCCTGTTCTACTTAAGTCACCAACAGACCAACAAGAGTCTTGTTAACTTCAGAAAAAACAGGATTCTTCCACAGAAGAATGAGCTACAGAACATGCTGTCTTCATTTATGCAAGTTTAATCATGAATTACCATGGAAAAAAATGACCTTCCATTAAGAATGTACTTTTTTTTTTTTTTAATATTTTAAAACAGATTTAAAAGAGAAAACAAAATATTAGAACTTACATTCAATATCAAGGTACATGCTCTTTTGGTGCCCACCAATTCTACTTGCCGCTTCACAGTCATATCTCCCTGAATCTGACAACTTCACATCTTTAATATGCAGTGACGACTTTCCATGCTGCCCTTTGACTTCTATACGGCCATCTGGGCTCTGTTTACATTGATTCAGGAAAAAAGAAGGTTTTATATGTTTATATATGTATATCAATGTAGAATTTATATATTAAACACTACTGATAAGAATGACTGAAAGCATCTCTTCACCTATAGTGAAGTTATCACTGACAGCTAAGCAACTTCTAAATTGTCCAAATAAATTTAAAAAAAAATGGAAAAACATGTTCTCTTTCTAGGCAGTATAATAAAAGAAATAAGTACATGCTTAAAGGAACATTGTCAAGGGAAACCACAAAACTTATCAATTTATAACAGCAATAGTAAACTCCATACTCAAAACTTCTTTATGATCTCTCTCACTCACTGTGTTATGATGCTGTTAAGAAAAATGCATAGATACAACACTATATCTTAGATTACACACAGCATTATCTCTGGTTCTTACAACTGCAGCTGTGAAACTGAACAGAAGTAATGCCTCAGACAATGAGCAAATCCCCAAAACTGTTAAAAAAACTTGAACCATAAAAGCAACTAGAAATTCTGGATTTCAGTTCCTTTTCATTACACGGAAAAGGCATGAAAAAATGAATGCTGCCTTTCAAATTTCTAGAACACAAATTTTATAAAAAATACTTATCCACAATGACTCTCCTTGCCCCTCCCATCCCTCCCCACAAAATTATTTTAATTTAAAGCATATACAAATATTAGGTAAAACTAAACAAAATAAAGAAAAATTCCTCTTCTTGATGCTTCAAACTTCATGAAATATTATGCCTGAGGAAAAATAAGTTATTTTCTTCTGCTCTTTACTTAAAGCATCATACAATATTTGGACTGGAAAGGACCTCTAAAGCTCATCTCATTCCAACTCCCCTGCCTGGGCAGAGACACCTTCCACTAGATAAGGTTGCTCAGAGTCCCATTCCACCAGGCCTTAAACATTTCCAGGGATGGGACAGCCACAGCTTCTCTGGGCAACCTTTGGGAAATTTCTTGTACTTTGTCATCTCTCACTTCTTTTGCTTAAGGGGAAAAAAACCTCCAAATGTGATTAAAGATACTGATGTTAACCTACCTTCATTATTGTAAGGTGGAAAAGGGATGAGAACACAGTAACTATTTCTGTGCATGATGTTACACTTGAAGCAGATTTTTATGTTTAATTCTATAATACACACACTCAAGTTTACTGCATATTACACTCAATACTCACCAAGTGGCAGCTGATGTTTAAGTGTCTGAGCTTTTAACTCATTACAATTGTTCCTTGACTTACTAAAAGAAATATGTCACAATTTAGACCTTAAAATATTTGATGTAAAGCAGTCAAATGAAGCATGCTGTTTATCATGATTTCTATAGAAAGAAAAGTATCCTGACCCTATGTAAGAATCCAAGTAGACTGAATTTTGTTTCCTGTGAAAACAGCTCATCATAGGTTGTAAATTAAAGTTCTTGAATTGTAACCCAGAAGCCAACATAAACCTCTTTGAATTGGTAAAAATTAGCAACTTAGATCACTTAACTATCAATTTTAATACAGAAAATTCTATTTCCACAATATCATCAAAAAAAGGAAAAGTTATGATGTTGCTAGTAAACATGTTACAATAGTGAACACCATGGCTTTTGGAAGGAATTCCTCGGCTAATTAAAATGCAATTTCTTTAAAAAACCCCATTGTTTTATAATTTCTGACACAAAGCCAGATTTATATATATGTGAAACATAAATATAAATGCCTATTTATATAACATTATATCTATTGTTTATATAGATGTAAAGCAAGTACATTCTATGGCCCAGTTAATATCAGTTATAAGTATTTTCTTCTTTATTTAAATATTAAGCATGTAATTCCATGGTCAAACTCCATTATTCCTACCTAAAATGTGCATACACTTCAGAAATTTCATTTCTGATTTTACCTTGATGACAAATCCTTAAGAACTTACATTTAAAATGGTGAAACAACCTGTGGCAATGAATCATAGATACAATAGTAAATACTGTATTAATGATTCATTAGTTCAATACTAATTTTAAATACTTTAATTCACTAATACATATTTCACTATAAGTAATTCCAAATATCCCTAAGCACATATATGAATACTAACAGATGTAATAGAAGAAAATAATAATAAAATAAGCACAAAGATCCTTAAATAGGTTTCACAGTAATTTCTCAATGTCCTTTTAGTTTATTTAATTATTTTCTAGTAGTGATGAAAAAATTTTGACTGTACTCAGTATGATTTTCTTATGTTCTCACATTCTCTTGTTCAAATGTAGATGATGTAATATATCTTAGATTTATAGGCAGAACAAAACTCAAGCTATAAATACTAATAAATACTCTGAATAATAGGAAATTTTCAGATATCATTTATTCTTATAATCAAATATACGGCAAGAAACATTGTAAGAAGGATTTACTAGTTTCAAAGTCCATAAAACAAATAAAACAATGATAGGCAAGAAAATTGCACTAGAATTATCATAAAAATATGCATTTACTAAAAACAACTTCTACTTTTTTTACGTTCATGTGTTAAAACTGCTTACTAAATCAAGCAAAATTTCTAAAATGTGTTCTGCTTCATTGCTTATAGTACATACTACACTGTGGCTTTTTAATAAACAGTTTAAAAAGTCCTGTTCCCTGAGTCTATTCTGCAGATGGATTGGTGTACAATTCCATAATTTATTTCTTTTACAAAGATACTACAATAGCTGATTAAAAATATACTGATGTGCTGCCATTCCTGAAGAAAGAAACACATGAAAGAAAAAACAGGGTGTAAATACAGACCAAGAAAATTCCATTACAAACAATGAAACAACTAATTAAACAAATAAATATTTGAAAGGCAATGTTTTCATGCAGGTGTCTCTATCTGTGAGAGGATTCCCAGAATATGAGGGACATTACCACATCCAAATCAAAATGGTAGTTAGTATGGTGAAGTTTCACAAGGACTTCAAAAATAGTGGTGTGGCTGTATTATATTTCTTTATGGTATAAATCAGACAAGAGACATCTGGGTTAATGATTCAAGGACATATGATCACACAAAAAAAAGCACGTAACAGGGAAGTTGAGTATGAAAAAGAGCAATGAAGAAACTGGGACAAAAATCAAATATGCAGCATTACCTGGAGCAAAAACTGAAGACACACTATTTACATTTTTCTGTTATTGTAAAGGACATTATTAAAATGGATAAACTGACAGGATAAACTGACAAAGCAGAACTTTCTAATCATTGGTAATGCCTTTCTGGGGTTAATTCTCTCCTGCACTAATTATCGAGAACACACATTAGTACTATGTCTGGAACCATAACACACCAAAACAAGAAGAGAAAGAGACACAGGTATGGGAACACTACACCTGCCCAGTAATCCATAGGAGAGATCCCCACCAGGAAGAAAGCTTTGAAGCTGCCAATGGGCCAAAACCAAAATACATACATAATCTCTATAAATTAACAATGTCAGTAACTCTGAAGCCTGCCTGAAATAATAATGGATACACACTAAATTGGGACATTATTTTTTTTTCAAATGTTGTAGCATGGGAGATGTAGAATCTGTATTTTATTATTTTGCTTGATAATGATAAAGAGCATAAATGGGACAGAACAACCCTGTAGACAATCAGAATAGTCTCTGTGGCCCAACACTCATGATTTGTGCTCATTCACTGAATTGCTCAGTATCTCCTCCCACTATGGAGAATGAGCAAACATTGAGGCCTCACAAACTTGAAGCTAAGACAGTACCATACAGATTTACATATTCTTTGGAAACAAAAATTATGTTAACAGACCCTTACACTCTTAGACACTGAGAGAATGATGAAGCCTTCAGGAGTTATATTTTCATAACATTTTAGAATTACTAATAAAATCTAAGAAATAAATATTTTTCATGGTCACTATTCATTGGAGAATTTAATAGAAATCATAAATAAAAGTGGGATTCTGAGGCTTTGGTGGTGGAGGGTTTTTTCCCCCATAACTTCATCACCAGCATAAAACTAAAATACAAGTAAAAAGTCTTCAGCAGAGACCTTGAAAAATGTTTTACTTAGGTAAAGTCACTTTAAAAGCATATTCCCTAAATTCAGAAGCAGGAAAGCCCTTTTATTTTGAACACTTATAGCAATCTAGTTCTCTGCCATTGTTAAAGGAAACTTTTATACAAGTCTGTAAGTAAAAATATCTAAAATGACACCACATAAAAAAGTATCTTCTGGGAAAAAAAAAAAAAAAAGGTGAAAATTTTCTGCACTTGCAATATTTTTACTTATAATATGTAGCTCAACAAAAATGATTCTACGCTAATTAAAAAATGAGAGGTATTGCATAATTTGAGTTTAGTGCTACAGGTTCTGTAAAAAGTACATATATATTTTTGGTTTTGATAAAATTTATGTCATACTATAAATGTTATTCTACTCCTTGACTCCTTCTGTCATGATCATGCTTCCTGAATGTCTTGCATAATTTGTAGTTCCACATGTGAGCATTCCAAAGGGCTGACCAGCTGATGCTGATTTGACTGGTCTATGCACAGCTTCAAAGACAAGAACCAGAGCTCCCAAGGCAGTACCAGAGCAATGAATTTCAAGAATTCCACTTGCAGAGTGGATAGTGATGAGATGAGACAACAACATCCACATGGAGACAAGGATAGCTTCTGGAACAGAATAAATTATTCAGGTACCATGGAGTTTTCAATCTGCAAAATTCCACTGCCATTTTAATAAAACCAAGAAGAGAGAGTTCGCTGATTAAGGTGCTCAGAAATTGCTGCTTATTTACAAACTGTAGAAAGTTGCACTTGGACAGAGGTGGATGGTGTGGTTAGTGGGTGAGTTTGATTTATCAGCCATTGCTCCAACTCCCACTGAGAAAAAGTAGAACCAAATGATATGAAGTTGCAGGGCTGCCAAAACTTGCATTTTGAGTTGGCTGAAAACAAGAATGGAAGGTAAGAACAGTTGCAGAAATTGGTGAC